AGGAAAAACAGGGCAGAAGGGCTGGAATGTGGCCAGAACTAGGGCTACTGCCCTGAAAAAGGTACCTGGGTCTGCAGCAGAGCCCCACTGCCCCAGATTCAATAGGTGACCTTTATCCACCTGTGCTGTGTATGTGTGCAGAGAGTGGTCGGGGGGAGATGCTGGTCTCTGTTTCCTTCCTGTTCTGAGGGACTCTCAAGGTCTTTCCTTAGGAGAAAACAAGGGGTTCTGACACAGGTTTCCCAAATTATTCTCCCAGGGGCCCTAAGAACAAGCAGCCCTATTAGGCACACTGTCTCCCCTTCTGTCCTCACTGGGGCTCTAGGGAGTTATTTGCTGCTCCAGCCTGGTGGGCCCTTGGTCCCTGCTGGGCCACCCACATGGCAGCCATGCGTCATGCCACCCTGACCTCCAGCTCACCTCTGGGGGTGCCCAGCCCCCTCTTGGTCAGCAGGGCTCCCTGGCAGAACATACCAGGTTCAGACCAGGCCTCTGACCTCGGTGTTCTCTCCGGCTCCCCAGGCCCCCTCCCCAGATCCAGTGCCCACTCCTTCAGTCCCTGGCTTCCTGCCACTCAGGCTGGAGGGGGCGGAGGGGGGGTGACAGCTGTGTAAGCGATGGCGGCTGCCCCTTCCTGCCCCTCCCCCCCAGCTGTCTCTCTCTCATGACAGCTGCCCAATCAAAGGGCCGGGGGCTTAGCCAGCTCCCCCCCACACGCAGGGATCAAGTGTCCACCCGGCTTTGTTCTGGAGCAAGAACAATCCGGGGGAGGGGAGGGCTCCTGGGGCCAGGCGACTCCAGTGGACTGGCCCGCCCCTTGGGGGATTCCCTTGGCTCTGCTGGCCAGAGTGTCTGGACCAACTAGGGCTTGTAGACCCACCTGGCTGGGGAGGAAAGGGGAGTCCAGTCTCCAAGTTCATCCCCCACCTCATATCCCCCAACATCCCCCTCAGCACCTCCAGCCCCCAACTAAGCAGCCTCCTTCCCACTCCAAAAGCAGCCATGCTGGCCACACCCAGTGATGCTGGGGAATGGCTTGGGGCATCAGGCGAAGCAGGGCGTGGCAGGGAGGTGGACACTGGGCCCGGGGTTGGGGGGGATCAGCTTTAAGGGATCCTGACTCCCCTCCCATCCCCTTCTCTGAGCATGCTCACCCTTCCTGATTAGCCAGGCCTCCACAAGAACTGCCCCAGCAGGCTTGGACCCTTGCGCCAGTCTCTCAGCCTTACAGCCTCCCAGGATGGCCACTCATACCCTTCTTGGGAGAGTGGGGGCAGGAGGGGCCCGCAGGGCAGCAGTCTGGGGTCTGCCAGCTCCAGCCTCTGGTTTCTTGACCCAGGGCTGTCCTGTAGACTCAGTGCTAGGCAGGGAAGGGAAGCTCTGACAAGCTGGCTGGTGCCAGAAATGCTACACCCTCCTTAGAGCATCGTTAGGCAACCCCCCAAGAGTCCTCACAGCCAAGGGAAACCGAGGCAGGCCCAGGGCCAGACTGGGCTCCAGGAGAAAGGGCACAGCTTTATAGTACAGTCCCACCCACTGGTACCCATCCCCTCACTGTCTGACTCAAACTAAAGGTCTCTAACTTCTATTCTCCATGCTGGAGACTGGGTCACTCTGCTGCTCAACAGCCATCCTTGGCTCCCCAGTACCCAAGTAATAAAGCCTGATCTACATAGACAGGCACTCAAGGCCCTTCATGATGTGGCTCTTGCCAACTTCTTTCATCTCATCTCCACCCCATCCCCCATACACACCAGGCTGCAAAACACACCCAGCACCTCCAGGCCTCTGGGCCTTTGCCCAGGCTGATCCTAGCTTGAAATGTCCATCTTCCCCACTCTCTGTCAAAATCCTTCTCAAATGCTACCTCCTCTGTGAAGCCCTGGCCAACCTTCCAAGTCAGATGTAATCACTCAGGCCTCTGTGTCCCCCAAAGATATGCCTGCAACTCATAGGAGTCCCGGGGGCATTTCTGAGGCTGCCTCTCCACAACACAGAGGGCTCCAGGAGGGCAGGAGCCAGGCCCAGGCCCAGTGTGCAGGGAGCGGATTGGGCTCACAGGGCCTGAAGGCTTCAGAGACCAGAGATGAGGCGAAGGGTCCAAGAGGAGCAGTGAGGCTCGGGTAAGAAGACCCAGGGCATGGGGACCAGCCACATGGGAGAGCCAGGATCTGCCTGGACAGGATCCCCAGTTCCCATTCCTCAGCAGCCCCGGTCCCTGCACCTGCTGTTTCTCTGGGTCTAGGGGATCCTCAGGCATGTCACTAGGGTGGGGGATTCACACGGTGCTTTGAAACTTCTGGGGGCCCAGAGTGGGTTTCCTCATGGGGAATGCAGGTTGGAAGAAGAGCTGGGGTGTGGCATAGGTTTCACAAAGTCGGGCTCAGCCTTTCACAGCTGGAAGGACCTCACCAGAGAGGAACCTGAGGCCCAGAGAGGAAGGGGCTTGTTTCTAAGGCTACATGAGAGGCTTCTGGCTGCACTGGGAGAACCCAGGGGTCCACCTGTGCGGCTCAGAGCTCTTTCCTCAAGAGGTCAGCGCCACTGGGCAATGGTGATGGAGGCTGGAGCGGGGGCAGTGATGAGAGTAGGGAGGGTGGACAGAGCCTGCCTGGGGACACAGGGTGGGGCAAAGCCAGCCTCCCTATGGCCTGGGCCTGCCAGGGTGTGTGGGCCGCCTGCTCCCAGCCCCCCACCCTGAGCATGCAAGAAGAACAATCCCCTTGTGTTTGGGCAGCCTGAGCCTGCATGCTGATGAAGGCTGGGGGGTGGGGGCTGGGATGGGGTGCCTTGGAGGTTGAGGGGGTTCCACGGCCAGGAGGGGCTAGGAGGACCTTTAGATGGGAAAAGGATAGGGTCCCAGGTGCTGGCCTGAAGCAGTGAGAGTAACCCCAGGAAACAGTGAGGGCCGGAGTTGAGGTTTAAGGTCCTGGGGAGTCCTTGGGGTCTAAGAGCTCTTTGTGGGGGAAGGAGGGCCCCTAAGGACACATGCCCTGTTGGTCCAGCATGAAGGTGATCATCCTGGGCTTGGTGGGGACCAAGGGCCCACATTCTGAGAGGAGGGAATGCAACTGGCCCTGGGTGCATCTCCTTGAAGACCACTCCCCCGGGGTGTTGGAGCCGGGCAGGGCACTGGGTGCCACAGGTCTCAAGATGGCGGGCCTGGGATAGGGGAGTGAGGAGGCGGGCACCTCCCTCTCCTGGCCAGGCAGGCATGAGGGCCAGGCTGAGGTGAATAGCCAGAGCCCCCTCCACCCCGCAGGACTTCAGCTAAGAAGCTAGGTCAGAGCTGAGGGAGTGAAGAGCCACAGAGGAAGAGGGACCACTCTGAGCCCCCAACTGTCATCTCCACACACCCCTGGCCTGGAGGTCTGTGTCTGCCCCCCCCCCCCCCCAAGGACTGCAGAGAATGAGAAGGGGTGTGTGCTGAGCCAGGAACTGCCAGGGAACGGCAGATGGGGATAGAGATGGAGCAGAACCAGAACCCGAGGCAGGAGGTCGAGAGAAGAGCAGGTCCAAAGGACAGAAACAGCAGGTGGGATGAGGGCCTCAGATCTGGGGTCTCAGGTCCAGGAAGCCCCTCCTTGGTGCTGGGGGCTCTTTGGGCAGACCAGCGCCCCCCACCTGTGCAGGCCTGGGCCCGTGTGGGACAAGGAACGTGTTCCTCACAGTCTCCCAGTCCCCCAAACCCGGGACCCGGCCTGTGGACTCGGGCGCGGGCTCCCGCCCCCGGCCGAACCCCCAAACTTCGCGGCCCGCGGTGCCCCGCCCGCCCCGCGCCCTACCTCGCTGGGGCTGTCCTGCGGCGGCGGCGGCGGCGCGGCGGCTGGGCCGCTCAGTCCCACATTGTCCCCGGGAGAGGCGGCCGCTCACAACTGCGAGTGACATCAGCTGCGAACAATGAGGGGTTTGACAGGCGCGGAGCCCGGCCGGCCCGGAGCCCGGCTCCGCGCCCCCCCCCCACCCCCCGGCCCGCCCGGCCAGGCCCCTCCCCGCCCCCTCCCCGGATCCGATTACAGCGCGGCGGGCCCGCCCCAGCAGCCCCAGTGCCGCAGCCGCCCGCCCCGCCCCGCCCCGCGCGCCGCGGTGCGCCCCGAGCGGCGGCCGCTGCTGGGAGGGCTGTGCGACCCTCCCCTCGCAGCTCCTCCAGGCCCGCGAGCCGGGGGCGAGGTGGGATCCGGCCTGAAGCGCGGTGCAGCCGCGGTCCTCCCCGCGCCGCCCGCGCTGCGCCCGACTCCGAGTCCCTCTGCTCCAGTCCTTCTGGCCCGGGCCGCCCGCCCGGCGCCTCTGCCGGGCCCCTACACCCCCTTATCGGCCTCGGCCCCGCCGCCAGCCCCCGCGCTGCCCCGCTCCGGCTCAGGTCCCTCGGAGCTCGGACTTCGACCCTCCGCCGGGCCCGGTTCCTGGCTCTCCTCGCTTCTGTGCCATCCATCCCCGCGTGGGGCTGTCGCCCACCAAGACCCGCACCCCTCAGCCACCCACAGCTTCCGCGAGGCCCGGCCCTCATCCGCTCAGGACAGGTTACCCGACCAGCTGGGGGAGGGGCCTGAGAGCGGTGTGACCCTGTGCACCCCGCCCCGTGATTCCCCCAAAGCTACCCCCAGAATTCCTTTTGGGGCTAGGGTCGCAAGGGACGCGGCGCAGTTGAGTACTCTACTCGGGGACGGGGACGGGGAGGAGCTGGGCTGTTCCCAAGCCCTCTCCTTGCCCCACTGCACCCCTGCCGCTGCCTCCTGGGGAGCAAATCTACCTCCCCCTCTCCTCCGTAATCGGCTCAGCCTGGTCCCATTGACCTCCACCTCCCCTCATAGCTGAGTCTCTTGGCACCTGGGTGTGTGTGGGTGGGGAGGGGAATCCAATCTCCCTTCCCCTCCATCTGGCCTGGTGGACAAAGGGCAGGGGGACCATCTGGTCCCGCCAGGATGGGGGAGGGGCCCACCGTGACGGTCCCAAGGCGCGGGGGAGGGGCGGCGCTCTGGAGACAGCAAGAGCCTGCGGGGTCTAATTGCATCACTTTATTTCACCGACCTCTACTCTCGTCTCCCCATCCCCCAAACCTCAGAGCAGGAAACAAGTTGGCTGAGAAGACCCAGGCCTAAACACCTGGGGAGGTGTGGAACGCCCAGAAGGGGGGAGAAAAGCAGGGAGATCTAAGGGTTGAAGGGGTGGCCCTCCCCTTTTGGGGGGCAATTCTGGTCTAGGGCCAGCTGCAACCTGTGGCTGAATGGAGTCCAGGGCTGGCCACACTCTAAGCCTGGCAGGGGATCTCTTGCAAGAGCTGACCCTTGGGGTCTCCACCTTCCCAGACACTGGGATGCTGCATGGTTGGGAGGGCATATGTGCCTGTGCAAGTGCTTATGTGGAAGCACGAGTATCCATGTGTGTATGTGCATGCAATGCAAAGCTGCACGTGACAGTGTGCATGTCAGTCCAGAGTTGCATGTACCATGTGGTTGCTCCCAAGTGAAGGGTCATATTTGGGAACACAGATGGCTCCATTGTATAAGCATGCATGTGGGCATGTATGTATCTGTGGCCTAAGAGGGAGGGGTAGGGGGTGTGAGTATCCTGCCCGAGCAGCCAAAGCAGGAGGTGGGAGGCAGGAGGGGGAGGCTGGACAGAGCAGAGGAAGGAGTCCAAGCCCAGCAGGAAAGCCTATAGGAGAAGCTCAACTAATGAATTACCCTCCACCAGATTACGTCCCTTGAATTTTTTTCTCTTGATTTCACCTCCTCAGTCTGTCACTGCAAGAGAAAAAGAAAGAGGAAAAGACAGACAGACCCCAAAAAACAAGAACCCAGATAGCCAGACAGACACACCTGTTGCATATGCACGATGAGCAGGAGCCCATGGAGGGAGTGGGACAGAATGAGAGAGAGAGCCCAAGGCAGGCAAGCAGCCCACTCCCGTCAGCAGGGCTGGGCGTCATAGCCCCTGCAGGAAAGCCAGCAAGCCTGTATGCCACTCTTCAGGTTTGTCAAGATAACAGGGGTGCCCTGCCCCCTCCATGACCAACACCCGGTGGTTGGGCAGCTGCTTCAGGTGCTCAAAGCTGGTCTGACCCATGGGGTCCTGGTCTCCATATACGATAAGAGCTGAGGTCTAGAGAAAAGAAAGGAAGGCAGAGTCAACAGGGACCTGCCACACCTGCCCTGGTCTCCTAGACATCATCTCCAGCCCTCCCCATCACTTCAGACTCTCCCCGGGTCACCCAAATGAGGAGGAGGGACAGGCTGGCCCAGTGGGTGGGGGAAGAGGCCCCAGCTCCCAAGGGACAGGGGCATGGATTTGTGTCTGCCCCAGCACACAGTTTAGGACAGGGCTTGGCACAGTAATCTGCTGCTAAGTAAACCAAAGGGCAGAGTTTAGTGGTTCAGCTCCTCCCAGAAGCCACCCCTTGGTTACCCCACCCCCATATAAGGAAAGGCCCTGGGATGGACCCTTCCTTGCTCCGGGCAGGGGGGCAGGGGCATCTCAGCCTCCCACATAGGTGTACCTTCACACTGGCATAGTCGGCAGCCCTGATTTTGTCAGTGCAGATGGGGGCCACTGGCACATAGCCCCGGACCTGGGAGCCAGGGGCCGTCAGGAAGGGTAGGGAGTACATGCCACTCAAGGACGGGCTGATCACAACTGGGGGGCCCAGGTCCAAGGCATCCACCACAGCTCCCAGAAAGCTGCTGGGGACTAGCTCCCCAATAGGTGCAGGGGCTGCTGCTTCCTTGGAGCGCCCCAGACCTGCAAAGATTCAAGTGTAGGAGAGACAACACAAGTACGGTGAGTGGGGAAACAGGGGAAAGAGGGTCCCTTCCTCCAAGAAGCCCTCCTAGGTCAATCTCTCTATGCCAGGTTCCTGCAACACAGTGTGCCTGGGTTTATTCCTACAGAAGCCTAGATCTGTCATATCTGTGGCAAACATGAGGCATTTCCCTCCATGTCTGTACCCATCTTCCCCAACAGGACAGTGTCCTGGAAAGAATCAGGCTCTGAAGGCCAACACTGCTGGGTCCAAGTCCCAATTCTCCATTTACCACCTATGTGACCTTGGGAAAGTCCCCTGAGCCCTCTCTGGGCTGCTCAGTGTCTCCATCTGCTAAAAGGAGATAACAATGGTATTCACCATTTAAGATTGTTGTGAAAACTGAGTTAACTGCTTAAGAGGCACCTAACCCAGGGTTGGCAGGGTGGGTGCCTTGAGGACAGTGGCTGAGGAGGTGGCTCTGCATTCGTACCTCCCCTCCAATTAGTCAGTCTCTACCTTCCCCAGAAAGATTAGCTCAAGACCTTTGCCTTGAAGCTCAGCCCAACCGTCAGAACCAATCCCATCCAGGCTTGCAGACCCGCCCTTGGACACTGAAACCATACCAGCCCTGGCTGGTGAGGGGAGCAGGTCAGCCATGCTGGCCCTTCCACACTTGGCACCATGGGCTGGAGCCTGCCGGTCCAGGTTAAGACTAGAAGCAGTCTGGTGCTGTCCCACCTCTCCCAGAACCTAGCTTAGGGCTTTGTATGTGGGATCATGACTGGAGGCTTAGCCTCCCACGAAGCCCTGCCCTGCCCCAAAAGGTGCCAGGAGACTCAGTCTCTCTCCTCAGGGCCTCCAACAGAGCCTGTAGTTATGGCTCTGTCAAAACATCTTACTTCCAATCAGCTGAGCGCCAGTTATGATGCGTCAGGTACTGGCCACATACTCATGTGGATAATCTCCTTTCATTCTCACTAGAGCCAGCTCCCAAAATGAGTGTGGTTATCTCCCCTTACAGATGAGGAAATAGAGGCTCAGAGACACTGAGACACTGCCCCGGGCAACACAGTTATAGGCAACTAGCCAGTGTCCAGACCACATCCGGATCAGGGCTAGAGAAGTTCGAAGGCCCTTGCTGTGTGTGCTGCGCCCTGTCAGTCTCAGCACCCAGCCTGGCTAGGTCCTCCCAGTCCCACAGCCCCCAGCCCTGGGTCCCCTTTGAGGCCCCCACCTGCCCTGTCCAGAAGCCTGCCCCAGAAGTACCTGGCAAGTCAATGGCCACAGCCCGGTAGCCAGCCTGGGCCAGCCTGTGCAGTGTGCCCAGGTTCTGCCAGGTCTCAGAGGAGAAGCGGATGCCATGCAACAGCAGCACAGAGAATCGGGCGGCCTGCCCACCGCCCGGCCGAGCCTCCCGGAAGAAGAGGCTCTGGCCCTGCACCTGGACGGTGCCCTCCTGCTGCTCCACACCTGCCATACCTGCCGTCGTGCTGGTGAAGCGCCTGTGGTTCAAGGCCAGGCTGGTGAGGAGCCACAGAACACCCTGCTCAGGTGGAGCAGGGAGACCGCCACGGAGAGGGTGGGGTCCCTCGGGAAGCAGGAAGGAGGCTCCCAGAACTCCACAAACAGGCTTTGGGGTAAGGAAGACCTAGGTGTTATTTCTGCCTCTGCCACTCACTTAATGGTATGACCTTGGCCCTCAGTTTCCTCATCTGGAATACAGGACAATAAAGCCTACCTCAAGAATTAACGAGTTAAAAAAGCTGACGTGAAAAGTGCCTGCCCTTGGAAAGAACTCAATACATGGGGCTCCCATTACATTATTGTCCTCATTGTTATTATTCTTTTCTACAAATGGGGATAATACAATAGTACTTAGCTCATAGGGGGTTGATAGGATTAAATGAGGCCACGCATGTAAAACACTGGCACCGTGCCTAGCACCGTGCCTAGGAAATGCTCAACCAACAATAAGTAGCTGACGATTTTGTTTATCAACCTCTTTCTCTTCAAGGCACTGTTACAGAGTCGCAGGTTGGCACCGCAGGTCAGAGGGGGTCGGGGTTGGAGTAAAAAAAACATTTTCTGGAGGCGGAAACCGGAGCGCTGAGCTGGGAAAGCCTTTGGAGTTCCGGCCCGCAAGGGACGCGGAGTGCTCAGCGCACTGCCCACTGGGGCGCAACGCGCTGACGCGGCGGTCACGGGCGCGGTCACCGGCGCCGCCGCGGCTCGCTCTGTCCCCTCCGAGGACCTCGGTTCTGGCTCGCTGTGCCTGGTAGGGCGCACGCGGAAGAGGTGGGGGCAGACCCGAGGGAGGGGACCTGGGGAGTCGTGATGAGAAAGAGGAGAAACGGAGTAGGTGGGGGTGGGTTCTAACTGGAGAGAGGAAGAGAGGTCGGGGGCGCAGAGCAGGTACCTGGGGAGCGGCGTGGGCTTGCGCAGACAGCAGACAGGCGAGTGCTAACGGCGGATGGGGCCCTGGGCGGGGAAACAGGAAAGGGGCTGGGCCGGGGAAGCGGGGATGTGGCCTGGGAGCAGGGGCCGGGCCCTGCTCCTGGGCGCCCTCTTGTGGCCACAAGCCATGGCAGGTCCAGTCAATGCTGCTAGATCATCTTTCTTCTCACAGCAGCTTCAGTTTCCCGCAGCCCCTCGGCCCCTCGTGTCCTAAGCACCGGGCTGGATGCGACCCCGAAACCCTCAGCGACCTGCCCCACATGCACGTAGAGGGGATCGAGGAGGAGGGTTCCTCTGGGGTCGCATACCTACTGCTCCCCCGCCCCTTCTCATCTCCAGCCTGAACTGCCTGGGTCTAGAGTCCTGCGCCTGGCAAGCAGTTGAGACCCAGCAGGTTTGAGTGCAAGGCTCTGCCAATGTCCAGCCAGGTGGCCTTGATCGTTTTCTCAACGCCTCTGAACCTGTTTCCTTGCCTGTAGAATGGGTGTGATGTTGTCCACCTCACAGGGTGCTAATAAGGAGTTAATCCTGTGCGCTCTGCTCAGCCTCCGTGTACTAGGTCTGGCTGCCACGCCAAGCCCTGAGCCTAGGGGCAGACTAGACGTTGGTCACACATCGCCAACTAGGATAGGTGCCATAAAGAGACGTGAAGGAGCCCAGAGGCCACCGCGGGCTCTGACGGAGTGCGTGCACGTGTGTGCATTTGTAGGGGTCAGGGAAGTGGTTGAGCTGAGACCTGGAGCTGCTGCATAACGATAATACTTGGCATTTACATAGCGAGGTCCGCGCCAGACACTGTTCTAAGGCTTGTGGTGGTGACAATTATCTGTGGTCCTCAAGACAATCCTTATCCTAAACCCCACTTTACAGACGAGAGACTGAGCCAGGGTGGAGACGTTCTGGTGGGAAGAAGCCGGGTGGCTCTCCCCCGGCTCTCAGGCCGAAAACAATCCGGAAAATCTGGACTAGGGGCCCGGCCTGCGTGCTTTGGGGCGCCGTTCCCTCGTCCCCCCTCCTTCGGGGCTGCTAGGCGGGAGGCCTGCCACTGCGGACTGCGCAAGCGCGCCTCCGTGACCCGGCTGTCCGCCTCCTAGTGTCAGCAGCAGCCTGCAGAGCGGCAGCGGCAGTGCCAGGGTCGCGGCGCTATTTGGCAGCTGGTTCCGCGTGGGCGGGGCCCCTCCTGCGGTGGCTGACCAGGTCGTCCTGGTCGGCCCCGGTGAGTGTCCCCGGGGAGTAAGGCCGGCAGGTTGCCTGGGGGCAAGCCATCCTTGCTCCGCCCTTTGCCCCCACCGCTCTCGGGCAAAGTCCTGCGGTAGAGGCAGGCGCTGGGGCCGCGAGTGTGCGTGTGTTTGTGTGTTGTGTGTGCGCGCGCGTCTGCCTACGTGTGTTCCTGGGGGTTTGGGTGTACGTGAGTGTCGGTGTGGTGTGTATCAGTGTTTCTGTGCGCCTATGTTGCCGGGGTATGTTGGTCTGTCTGCCCGCTTGTGTCTCTATATGTCTATTGTGTGTATTTCTGTGTGTGCGTGTGATTTTGAGGGTGTGTGTCTACTTGCGTGTCTTTGTGTGTATTTCTGAGAGTCCGTGTGTGAGTGTCCTGTCTGTGCATGTATGTTTCTTGTGTGGGTGTGTGGTTTTAGGGTTGTGTGTATGACTGTGTGCTTCAAATTTCAGGGTCTGCATATGATTTTGAAAGCGTGTGTGTATCCATCTGCCTTCCTAATGCCTGACTGTATGCGTGATTTCGAGGGTGTGTATTTCAAGGGATGGGTTACGCACAGGCGTGTGCAAGGAAGCTGCCTACGTGCAGGGAATAGCTTATGCAGCAGAAAAGCGTGTGGGGCAAGACTCGATGTTTGTGTGTACACCTTTGTGTCGTTGTCAATGCGTATGCCAAGGACCTAACGCTGGTACACCTTCCTACCCCCTTGTATCTGTAGCGTAGACTCGGTTGCCAGATACCCGGCCCCTATCGTTCTCTAGTGCTCCAGCTGCCTGGGTTGCCAAGGCAACGGGCGAAGTCCCGCCCCTCCCTACTCGGAGAGGCGCCCGGGCTCCCCAGCCCACCACAAGAAGAGGTCCAGCGAGGATGCTCCCCCTGGTGGGAACATAGGCTAACGCCGCGTTGGAGGCGTGCGTCAGAAGCTGTTCCGGTCGGAAAGAAGAGAGGAGCCCGCTCTTCCTCTGCTCAGCTCCTAGCTCTCCATCAGCACCGGAGGGGCTGCCACTGTCCACTCACCACCTGACCTGGGAGCCTAGGGGTGGAGGCTTGGAAAACATCCCCAAGGCGTCTCAGAGAGGTAGGTGGGGCCCGAGGTGAGTCCCCAGCTCCTAGCTGCTGCTGGCGCCCAGTTGGCACTCAATAAAGATGTGTTTACTGGAACCTGGGGAGAAGGCAGGTGTGCTCATCCTAGGCCCAAGACGTGATGACAGGTCAGCCTCGGTTCAAGTCCACTGTCTTATTGAAATCTCACAGGAGGCTTGGGAGGGCAGCCAGTGAGGTTACCCTTCTCCCCATTTTACTGACAAACTGAAGACACGCAGCCAGGAAGTGGCAGAATGGAGTCGCAAAGCCAGAGCTAACTGCTCTGTCTGGGTCCTGGGTCCTGAGGTCTGCCTTCTGGGCTAGCAAAGTACCCAGACTGGAGGAATCCATGAAGCAGGTCATTTGGCATGAAGCTGGGGCGGGGGAATGGCATTCATCTCTCCAGCCTCCATGCTGCCCTTTCCATTTCTAGGTCTACCGTGCTCCTCCCTGGTCCCACATACCCTCATACTTCAGCATTTCCTCCATGACGGATGTTCTCCGTGAGCCCTCCTCCCAATTAACATCAGCTGGGGTAGAGCACTATTCTCATCAATTGTTAAACACGTTCTGATTGTAGCATTATTATAGGCAGTGTGATCAAAAGAACCATTTCCAAACATGCCCTCAGTGGACGTCGCTTTGCACAGTCTTTCACCTTTGATGTCCTGCACCATTCTGTCCACCAGCAAGGCTCCAGTTCATACGTCACTCCCCAGCCCCGTGGTTTCCTCCTTGGCAAACTGAGTGTGGCCTGGTAGTTAGGAACCCAGCCCTAGGTTCAAATTTGAGTTCCCCTACTTGCTACTCTGCACTCTGGGCAAGAGAATTTACCTCTCTAAGCTTCAGTTTCCTCTTCTGTAAGAGACCTATAATGATATCTGCTCCCCAGTGTTCTTGTGTGGATTCATGAGCCCTTGTATGTGAAGGGTCAGCACAGGGCCTGGCTGTGATCAGCACTCAATGAACGGAGGTGGTTTTAGCTGGCACAGTGATGATGGTGGTCACTGAGCATGCTTTGTGCCAGGAGGACATCTCAGATGCTCCTTCTCACAATGTGGGTTGTCTGAGCCCTTGTCCTGGCATGTGGAGTAGTTGGATGTGAACCCCAAGACCTTTGCCCAGAGCAGAGGAAAAGGCAAGGGCTGGAGCTTTTCCTCTGCTGGGGGCTTCTGGTGGGGTTTGGGATGGGGTCCAGGGGGTCCTGTGGCGGCTCAGCCCCAGCCTCTTCTCCCTCTCCTCTCCTCCTCCAGACTATGGTACAGACCTCCATGAGCCGGTCCCAGGTAGCCCTGCTGGGCCTGGGCCTGCTGCTCATGCTGCTACTGTATGTGGGACTGCCAGGCCCCCCTGAGCAGACCTCCTGGCTCTGGGGAGACCCCAATGTCACAATCCTGGCTGGTCTCACCCCTGGCAACTCTCCCATCTTTTACCGCGAGGTGCTCCCGCTCCACCGGGCACGCAGGTGGGTGCTGACCCCAGGGTGTAATGGAAAGACTAGGCCTAAGGGGAGTCCCTTTGTGGAACCCCAGCTCAACTCAGGGTCCTCAGGGCCTGGGAGGACAGTGGGAGAAACCTCGGAAAAAAGAAGAGGGGGCCACTCCCAGACCCCCAGGACATACACTCTCCTGTGTGCCCACAGGGTGGAGGTGGTGCTGCTCCATGGAAAGGCCTTTAACTCCCACACGTGGGAGCAGTTGGGCACGCTGCAGCTCTTGGCGCAGAGGGGCTACCGGGCCGTGGCCCTTGACCTCCCAGGTGAGAGCCCCCTCCCCTGGGTCTAGGAAGGCAGCATGCAACAGGTGCAAGGGACAACTTCCCAGAGGGGGCACTTGGAGGGGTAGGAAAGCCCTAAGGTGTGGCCGGGGGGTATCTTGACCCCAATGTCTGGACAAGCAGTGGCAGGTTGCAACACAAGATGACGACACGAAAAGGTCTGTGTTTTTATTTTCTACCTTTATTTTGTTTTCTACTTGAAAACGGCGGGGTGGATTGTTACGGTCACAGAGCACATAGAGGCGTAACTCACTTCACAAGCGATTGCAGGGGGAGATCTCACTGTACTTTTTATGACAAACTACCTAACTTTTTGGTTTTTACCTACACAAATGATTTATGCCATCATTCTTGTCATTAAAAAATCAAACAAGGGGGCCGGCCCTGTGGCCGAGTAGTTAAGTTCGCGCGCTCCGCTGCAGCGGCCCGGGGTTTCCCTGGTTCGGATCCTGGGCGTGGACATGGGACTGCTCATCAGGCCACGTTGAGGCAGCATCCCATATACCACAATTAGAAGGACCCACAACTAAAATATACAACTATATACTGGAGGGATTTGGGGAGAAAAAGCAGTAAAAAAAAAAAAAGAAGAAGAAGAAGATTGGCAACAGTTGTTAGCTCAGGTGCCAATCTTTAAAAAAAAAAATCAAACAAGAGTGACACCCTCAGAGGCCCACGCCACCTTTCTCTTCCTCTCGCCTCTGTGAGCAGTTTGGGGGTGCCAGACCTTTTTTGGGCATTTCCATACAAAGAGATACAGACAATATGCAGGATTGTGGTTGGGTTGCAAACATGTTTGGTGTCCTGCCTGCTTAGCGAATCTGTCTGCAACTTGGTTTTCTCTCCCTGGGCCAGGTCTCACGGATCATGCCAGTCACTATGAAGCCCCCTCTCTGTAGTGTGTACCACCAGAGGGATGGACAGGTTTTATCTGGCCATTCCTCTAGTGGTGGATATGTAGGTTGATTTAGAGTTTTCAGTGTCAGTTGAAATGCTTGAGTAATGAAGCTGAAGCATCTTTGGAATGCTTCTTTGAGCATGTGGGTAGATCAAAGGACAATTGATGGGTTAAAGGACACATATTCTTAAAAGTTTGACAAATATTACCTTACCCTTCAAAAATGCTTATGGACTTATCCTCCCAGCAGTCGTTTATGAATGTGCCTGTTTCCCCACATCTTCCCCAACACTGTGTATTATCGGTTGTTTTTAGTTTTGCCAATATGATGAGTGAAGAATGTGTCTAGGGGCTGGCCCTGTGGCATAGTGGTTAAGTTTGGCACATTCTGCTTTGGGGGTCTGGGTTCACAGCTTCAGATCCTGGGCACTGACCTACACCACTTCTCAGCCATGCTGTGGCAGCTACCCACATACAAAAAGAGGAAGATTGGCACAGATGTTAGCTCAGGGCTAATCTCCCTCAGCAAAAAAAAGAAAAAAGATGTTTTTCTAGCAGGCCTATCGCATTACAAAAAATGGCTTCTAGGAAGTTTGGGGTAGCATGTGTCATGTGACACTGCTCCCCATCTCTTTCCCCCACTATGGTGGGCGGGAACTCCTAAGCTCCTGCCCAGCCTTCCTCAGCTGGTGCCTTCTGCTATTCCCAGGTTTTGGGAACTCAGCACCATCAAAGGAGGCAAGCACAGAGGCAGGGCGGGCAGAGCTGCTGGAGCAAGTGCTGCGGGACCTGGAGGTGCAGAATGCCGTGCTGGTGAGCCCCTCCCTGAGTGGCCACTATGCCCTGCCCTTCCTGATGCGAGGCCACCACCAGCTGCATGGATTTGTGCCCATCGCACCCACCTCCACGCAGAACTACACCCGGGAGCAATTCTGGGCTGTGAAGGTACTGGGAGAAGGGTCTCCAAAGGTGCTGGCTTCCTGTCCCTGACTCAAGTCATGGGGGGAGAGAACTCAGATACTCAGATCTCACTTGGAGGACACATGGCCCCATCCCTGATCTGGATAGAAGAGATGGGGTGTTTGGGGAAGATTTGCCAAGGAGGTGGCTTGAGGGTCCATCCCCCTCAGGCCCCAGGACCACGGCCCCTTGCCTTGCCCTACAGACCCCGACTCTCATCCTGTATGGGGAGCTGGACCGCATCTTGGCTCGTGAGTCGCTGCGGCAGCTCCGCCACCTGCCCAACCACTCCGTGGTGAAGCTGCGTGACGCAGGCCATGCCTGCTACCTCCACAAGCCGCAAGACTTCCACCTTGTCCTCCTTGCCTTCCTTGACCACCTGCCTTGAGCTCGCCCACAGCCCAGGCCCCAGGCCTGGCCTGAACTTGGAGGATCTGGACCAGCCTCCCACCAAAGAGGCAGAGCCGGGGATTGGAGGACAGAGGCCAGAGGGCCAGGCCCAGTGAGGATCTCTCATTTCATCTCACAGGCACAATAAAAAAAAAAAAAGCATTTTTGTCATGTCTGGGGAGTGACAGGTTCCATTTCCTGGCGTTGCTGCAGGTGGGGCAGGAGTGAGAGGCAAGTCTGGGACTGCTTCAGGTCTGGGAGCTAGAGGGCGTGCTCCAGCAGCCTGGGAAAGTTAAGAACATGGGCTACTTCCTAGCTGGCTGCCCTCACCACTCTGTGCCTCAGTTTATTCATCTATAAAATGGGCATGATGGTAACACCTAGCTCAAAGGTGGTTTTAGGATTGAATGAGTCTGGGTAAGTGGAGCACTTGGCCGCACAGGGCTGGGGGTGGAGGGTGGGAGAGGGAGTGTTACTACTGCTGCATGATCACTGGGATTTGTGGGAAATCCGGGGTCTGGCAGCTGAGCCAAGTCAGGAATGCAGGAACTATGGCCAAAGGGAGCAGGATGTGTAGAGGTGGGAGTGGGGAATGTGGTTTAATAATTAACACAGCGTTGTTGGGGAACCAAGCCTGGGTATGTGTGGGTCAGCAGGCCAGACTTAAACCCCAGGAGGGCTGGGATTGACCCCTACCCTCCAAGCTTGCCTCTTCTGGGCCCAGAGGTTGAAGTCTTCAACCCCTGCCCCTCCCCAAACTGACAGCCTCTGGAGCAGAGGGCAGAACTGGCTGAGAGACAAAGGGCAGCTGGGCACACATGTGGGCAGCTACTACTGTGGGCAGCCTGTGTGTGGCCAGTGGGACACCTCCCTTTATCAATACCTCCCTCTCTGGTGACTGCAGAAGAGCCAGGGAGCCTGGCATGGGGTCAGCCAAGAGCGTGCCACCTGTATGCTTTTGTGCTGTTTCCCCACCTCTCACACTGTCCTACAGCATCACAATTACATCCTCTTGCTGCGACATCCTCCGTCACGCAGACGCTGGCACAACCAACCACCATCTCACACTCCTATTGTCATACCCACTGTGTCATTGTTTCCGTGTCATTGTCACACGGTCATACCCACTGATACACACTGTTAGGTTTGCCCACACAGTGGCACGTGCACACGATCACACACTTGGTCATACGTGCGCCTGTCCGTCCATTTATCCCTCATTCCTGGCACGCTGTCCGGGCGCCCGCTCTGTGCTCCGCCAAGGACAGAATCCTACGGGTTCATGGACCGGCCTCCTGGAGCTCACAGTCTCGCAGGACAGATAGTAACCAATAACCTCTCCACACAGGGAGCTGAGGCAGGCAGGACCTCCCGGACTTGCTGACGCATGAAAAGGGGAGAAGTAGGAGACTCCCGGTAGGGGGTGGGGGGGCAGGCAGGGCCAGCTCCGGCAGGACTTCGCACCGCAGTACCCTGAGAGCAAAGGGGCACCAAGGCCGCGGCCGCGACTTTTTGAGGTCAGTGCCCGCCCTCCTTTCCGCCAATCAGGAGGTTGCAGGAGGTGGAGCCCTCTGGGGGTGGGAGCATCGGGAGTTCTGCCCAGGCCCAAGGGCGGGGCCTGGAGGGGGCGTGTCCTGCTGGGCGGGGTGGGGCCTGCGGGAGCAGGGCCAGCCGGGAGGCAGCTGCCGGGGGGCGGGATTCGAATTCCTGGCCTCGGATAACCCCGCCCAGGCTGAAGCCAGGGGCAGGCAGAGTCGCCCGCACTGACGCGGCCATAGAGACTGGGACGGCCCTTTTCTGCCGTCTTCGGTGCAGCCCCGCGATCTGGTCCGGCCACGTGGTGGGCGGAGCTGGGCGGTTCTGAGCCTGCGACTCCTTAAGACCCTGAGTCCCGGCCACAGTTCCGGGCTGGCGTTGAGAGGCAAGCGCGGCCCTACGACCAGCAGAGAGCGAGGTGGGGTGCCCTGTAGAGGGGGAGCGGGATCTGGGACTCCCTGGCATGAAATCCGGGCAATTGGGACAGTTTTTTTGAGGAGGGTGGGGGGAGTCGATGTCTGGGTTTAAACCTGGCACAGCTACTCTCCGGCTGTCCTTGAACCTCTCTGAGCTTCAGCTTTCTCCTCTATAAAGTAGGCATTCAGAGGCAAGAACTTCTTGGGGCCCTTTTGGGTATTAAATAAGCACGGCACGTGAAACGGAATGGGGCTCTGTAACTGGAAGCTCCGAAACAGGATGTCCTCCTCCTGTCGGAGGTACGGGAAACCGCCTGCCCTGAGGAGGGGCCTTGTACAGATAGAGTCCACCAGACCCCAGCAGCTGGGACTGGTAGGCAGCCACTCGCTGTGCCCCCAGCTCACCACCAGCGGCGCCATGGCCAGCAAGGGTCGCGAGGATGAGCACCCATCCGTGACGCTCTTCCGCCAGTACCTGCGCATCCGCACCGTCCACCCTGAGCCTGACTATGGTGAGAACGCGGCGGTTCCAGGGCCAGTGTTGGGGCCCCAGGGGCGGGAAGTCTGCTGCAAACACTCCCCAATCCCTGTCATCCAGCTGAGCCCCACTCTGCTTTCCCAAATGGCGTCCCAACTCCTCTAGCCAGTCCCTAGGTCAACAGATTGCTCGGCAGCCGGCCCCTCCTGGCTGTGGAGGAACCCGTTCCCCAGAGGCGGCGCTTCTCCAAAAGTTACTCCTGGCAGCCTTGTAAACAACACCACTTCACTCCCCAGGGCTTGGGGTGGGGGAGGGGAGACTGGGGCAACCACAGGGAAGAAGACTCTCCCAGAAGCCTGCTGAGGGTGGACAAAGGTCACAGCCCTTAGGGAATCAAGCTTGTCTGGGGATTGTGTACATGGATCTAGTCTAAATCACGTGCTCTGTGATTTACCAGCTGGGAGATGTTGAGTGAATCCCATGTCTCCACACCAGTTTCCCCACCTTTAAGGAAGGTAACAATGACACCTGCTTCTAATCCTGGACTTCTCACCTAGCCTTCCACAAAGGGTCACTGATTGGCCAAAAATATCAATTTCCTTGGGGACAGAAATGTAGGTGTCTCTGAGAGACGTCACATTGTGTTGAGGAGGCAGCAGCCCATCTGCGGGTCTGTTCCTCTGTCTGGATGTACCCTCCAGCTCTGCCTGGGCCAGTGGGAGGTGTGGGTAGGCAGAAGCAGCCCCAAGATCCTCTGTGCTCTCAGGGGCTGCTGTGGCCTTCCTTGAGGAGAGAGCCCATCAGCTGGGCCTGGGCTGTCAGAAAGTGGAGGTGAGCCTGGGCCCCTGCATAGGGAGGGGAGGTGGGCCTGGGGCACCTCCTCACCCTGTGCTGACTACCCCCTTCCTGACCCTCTTCAGGTGGCACCTGGTCGTGTGGTGACTGTGCTGACCTGGCCAGGCACCAACCCCAGACTCTCTTCTCTCTTGCTCAACTCCCACACGGATGTGGTGCCTGTCTTCAAGGTGTGTGCTGGGGCGGCGGGAGAGGGGGCAGGGCATGGGAAGGGAGTGGTGCAGGCCTTGGGGACAAAGATGAGGCAGACTTCCAATTGACCTCAGACCTCAGGGAGCCCACAGTGCTGGTCCCAGTCATGACTCTCAGCATCATATGGCATTGCTCCATTCAAGCAGCTTTTGTCTAGCAGCCATTCCATGCCCACAGTGGGGTGGAGGTGGGAGGCAGAGATGAGGGATGGCCATCAGCTGCCTTCTTCAGCCCTCTTCTGTCCCCCTCACCACACCTGTCACCCAACCCTACAGTGGGCTCCTAGAACAGGGCCACAGTTGACCAGAGAGTTGACCACAGTTGGATTAATGACTAAATTTGGGGCTTGGGTCCCTCTTCCCTCCTCTGCCCCCAGGAACATTGGAGTCACGACCCCTTTGAGGCCTTCAAGGATGCTGAGGGCTATATCTATGCCCGGGGTGCCCAGGACATGAAGTGTGTCAGCATCCAGTGAGTGTCTTCCATTCCCAGTCCTGCACAGTGTCCCCACTGGCCCATTGGATTGACCCAGGACACGGGGTGATTGGAGAACCTCAAAGCCAAGGAACATCTTGACCCCTTACCTTGGGCAGGAATTACTGCTGTGACTATTGCATGACAGGGAGACTGAGGGACAGGGACTTCCCAGAGTCCCCTGCCAGGCTGTGGCAGAGCAGGGCCCAGGGTTCCAGCCTGCATGCCCAAGCATCTGGTGGCTGCCCCAGCACCTGACTTACACCCTCTCCTTAGGTATCTGGAGGCTGTGAGGAGGCTGAAGGCTGAGGGCCACCATTTCCCCAGAACAATCCACATGACCTTTGTGCCAGGTAGGAGTGGCTCAGGGAGGGGCACCTTCAGAGACAGGGGAGGGTGTGTTGGGCAGGCCCTTCATCTCACATCCCTGCTGCTTTCACAGATGAGGAGATTGGGGGTTTTCAAGGCATGAAACTGTTTGTGCAGCGGCCTGAGTTCCAGGCCCTGAGGGCTGGCTTCGCCCTGGATGAGGGTAAGGAGAGTGGCAGGCTACTGAGCAGCCAGCAGGGGGTAGGGAGACTGCTAGTGGGGGCTGGGCTGCTCCACCCTCTGAACCACCTTTCCCTTTTCAGGCCTGGCCAACCCCACTGATGCCTTCACTGTCTATTATAGTGAGCGGAGCATCTGGTGTGAGTATGGGCATCAAGGGAGGGGGGTCACTCTGCAGATAGGAGACTAGGCCAGAAGAGGCAGGGACCTGCCAAGGGTCACACAGCAAGTTGGGGCCTGAGTAGGCCTTGAACCCAGGGCCTCTGCCTCTCAGCCACTTCCTACCTGAGCTTCTTAGCGTGGGCCCTAACTGTTGAGCAGAAATCAGCTCTACACTGCTTCTACACTGGTGTGTTCTGAGGGGGACAGTGCCCTGCCAGAGGAGCTTGGAACGAAGGGAAGACCCAAGCCCACCCCAGGGCTGACTGCACTTCCAGTTCATCCCATGCTGAAGATACCCCCTCCCCGCTGCATCTCCCAGGGGTGCGGATCACAAGCACCGGGAAGCCAGGCCATGCCTCGCTCTTCATCGAGGACACAGCAGCAGAGAAACTGGTGCGTGGCACAAGGGGAGGGATTTTGGAAGTTCCTGAGGCTCTGTACTGAGGCCACTCTCACAACTAACTTCACACTCTCCTAGCACAAGGTTGTGAGCTCAATCCTTGCT